TGGCCGCTGAGGTGGCCGTGGGCAGCCGCCGGCCGGGCAGCAGTCCGCTGGCGGGAGGCGCAGAGCAGCGGCCCCATCGCGGCCTGCGTTTAACCTCCCTCCTTTAACCGTGAAACCAGCTTTATCTCAGCCCACGGATTTTCTCGCTTTTCTTCTCCCCGATCTGCCCCCACCCCGCTGGGAGCAGTGGGTGAGTGAGTGGCTGGGTGGGCGCTTGGCTGCTGGAGGGGCCAACCCACTGCCATCCCTTTTGGTGCCCAGCGTGGGGCTGGAGATGGAGACAGATTGGGTCAGGGTGTGCTAGGCTGGATTTAGAGCTGTTACAGCTGCTCAGCTGTTGGTGGTCCCAATGCTGAATTACTTGCTCCCATCCTTGCTGCACATTAAACTCCAGGGCTTCCTAACGGCTGCTGTCGGCTCTTGCTGTTTACTGTGCTGCTTATCACTGTGGTTTGCTTTGCCTGGGAGACGTATGATAAAACACGGGCCTTGAGCCAAGTCTGGCATTTGGCCCTTGTGTTGCTGCCATCCTAGTACTCTGGGAACCATCTTACGGTGACCTTCCTCCTCTTCTTCTTCAGGGTAGATGTTTCCAACCTTCTTGTAATGGACGTAATCAGTGAGATAACACTCATTTCCACCAGGTAACAAAAAAGAAATGCAAGCCTTCCTAGCCATAGTGGGTTTCTGGAGATTGCACATTCTGGGTCACACTCAGCTTGTGAGTCCTCTATCAAGTGACCTGAAAGAGTTTTTTCGTGGGTTTGCATGGCAAGGTTTTAGTGGTGGAGGGGATACAGGAGTGACTTCTGTGAGAAGCTGCCAGAAGCATCCACCATGTCCAACAGAGCCAACGCCAACCAGCTCCAAAATGGATCCACTGCTGGCCAAGGCCAAGCCAATCAGCGATGGCGGTAGCGCCTCTGGGATAACATATTTAAGAAGGGGAAAAAACTGCTGAGCAGCAGCAGCTGGAGAGAGGAGTGAGAATATGTGATAGAAGCAACTCCCCAGACTCCAGGGTCAGTGAGGGGAGGGGCAGGAGGTGCTCCAGGCACAGAGCAGAGGTTCCCCTGCAGCCCGTGGGGCAGCCCGTGGTGAGGCAGCTGTGCCCTGCACCCATGGAGCTCCATGGGGGAGCAGAGACCCACCTGCAGCCCGGGGGGGACCCCACGCCGGAGCAGGGGGATGCCCGAAGGAGGCTGTGACCCCGTGGGAAGCCCACGCTGGAGCAGGCTCCTGGCAGGACCTGTGGCCCTGTGGAGAGAGGAGCCCACGCTGGAGCAGGTTTGCTGGCAGGACTTGTGACCCCGTGGGGTCCCACGCTGGAGCAGCCTGTGCCTGAGGGACTGCACCCTGTGGGAGGGACTCATATTGGATAAGTCTGTGGGGGACTGTCTCCTGGATCAGGGAACCCCACACTGGAACAGGGGAAGAGAGAGAGGAGGAAGGAGCAGCAGAAACAATGCGTGACAACAATAACAATACAACAGTACAATACAACCCCCATTCCTTGTCCCCTTGCATCGCTCAGGGAAGAGATATAGAAAGATAGGAGTGAAGTTGAGCCTGGGAAGAAGGGAGGGGTGCAGGAAAGGTGTTTTAAGATTTGGTTTTATTTCTTGTTACACTACTCTGACTTTTGATTGGCAATAAACTAAATTCATTTTTCCCTAAGTTGAGTCTGGTTTTTGCCCATGACAGTAATGGTGAATGATCTCTCCCTGTCCTTATCTTGACCCATGAGCCTTAATTATATTTTCTCTCTTTCCTGTCCAGCTGAGGAGGGGAGTGATAGAGCAGCTTTGGTAGGCACCTGGTGTCTAGCCAGGGTCAACACAACACAGTCCTTAAACAGCATCAGGACAAACAGGACATAGTTTATGTGGTAGCCCTTGGGCCTGTTAAGACAGGAACAGCTGTGAGAAAGATGCTCTGCTCTGTAGCTGGGGAGGACCTGGCAGAAAACACTTGGAGAGACCTGAAGTCAACCTCTAGGGTTCTGAAGCTGAGGTTATTAAGGGTCTGAGATGTTTGTGCTGCACTAGATGTTCATAGGAAGGGGTCCCCTCTCTACCTTTTGCAACCAATGCTCTGGGGAGTAAGTGGGTAGTACTGATCATACATTGGACTCAAATGGGACTGACAGCCCAATAATCCTGAAAGAGATCACAGTTTGGCCAGGAAAAAATATTTCAGAGCATCACCTGAGGAGGTGGCTGAGGCTTAAGAGTATAATAAATTAGCAGAAAGTGAAATACAATATGCTCTGTTTACCCAGGGATCCTGTGTGCTGTGCGAAACCATCTGATGTGGAAAGCTGCTCTGTGGAGCTTAAGTTATGGACCAAATGAATTGATTTGACTTATATGGACATTTGGGGAATGTCCTGCAGACTGAGGGAATGATGTCTGTGTGTATGTCAAAGGACAAGGAACAGGGTCATGATTGATGGGGATGTATTTGAGAGTGCAGGACCTGAGTATGGTACAAATGGTGTGGAACAAGTGGTGGAGATTGTACTGGGTCTGACTGGGATGGAGTTAACTTTCTTCATAGCTGTCTCTATGGTGCCATGTTTTGTATTTGCAGCTAAAAGTGTTGATAACACACCAGTGTGTTGGCTATTCCAAACAACACTTTCACAGCATCAAGGCTTGCCTTTTTTTTTTTTTTTTTCTGCTCAGCCCCCCCAGCAGGTAGACTGGGGGTGGTCAAGAGAATGGGAGGGGACACAGCCAGGGTATTTGACGAGAACTGGCCAGAGGGATATTCCATGCCATAAAACTTCAACCTCAGCAAGAAAACCTGGGGCAGAGGAAGAAATATGATGGGGTTGCCTGTTGCTGGGAGACTGGCTGGGTGGGCATGGGTCTGATGGTGGGAGGTGGTGAGTGATTGCCTTTGCATTGCTTGGGGGGGTTTGGGGATGTCCCAATCCAATGTCGAGGGACGTTTCAATAGGATCCCAAGAGCGAGATTAAGACACAAACAAGGTTAAATGCCGTATACCCAAACCAGGTTTTTATTATTAGAAAGGTGAAGACGGGTAGTGATAGGACAGAATGGAAGGAAAAGAGAAATAAAGCAAGCATGCGGGATGGGGCTGCAAGAATAGTCACCACCACGGATCCTGCGGCGTCCCATTGGTCCTCAGTCTGCAGTTCTTCGGCGGTGGGTGCACACGGATCTGGCTTCGGTGGTGGATGCACACTGAGCACAATTTTCTGCTGCCTTTTTAAGTTCAGTATCTGCTGATTAGCATATCTGCCCACCTTTATTTATTTTTTTTTTCCTGGTCCAACAGGTTTTGTCGCATCTGGCTTCAGGGCATGAACGTTTGCCTCTTGTCAGTTCATTGGCAATGCATGCATGGTGTCTGGCCTGCACAATAGAGCCACAAACGGCTCCAGGATGGGCCCAGCTCAGTCCATGTCTGCCCCTTTGAGGCTTATGTAAAGAGTCTGGACGATGCAACCGCAAGGAAGTGGGGGGGTGCATCCTTCAATACACTCCCGCTTCTCTGGGCAGCATCCCCCAGACCGATCCACAGGCCGCAGCAGCTTCTCTTGGAGGTTTGCACAGACACAAGCAAGCTTTGAGACAGTCATAGGACATTTCAGTCTCTCACAGGGGGTTGGATTTTTTGGTTTAGGACGTTTTTTGCTTTCTTTCACTTACTAAACTGTCCTTATCCGGATTCTAAAAACATTCTCACTTTTGTTCTTCCTATTCTGTCCACCACCCCACTGTGGGGGGAGTGAGATGTGTGGGTGTTTGGCTGTTGTCCGAGGTCAACCCATCCACTTTGGTTAGGCCCTCTGAGGCTGCCTCCCACTTGAAGAGTCTTTATAGGGAGACTGTGCAGTGGAATATTTTAGACTGCTTATTCGCTATAGGGTTTTTTTATTCCTCCTTTGATTTTCCCCTGGTCCTATTTTCTGGATGGTGGCGGCAAGCAGGAGAGACTGAAGGAGGAAGGAGGCTTGAAGAAAAACAAAGGAAAAAAGAAAAAGAAAAAAAAGCTTTTTCTCTCTTTAGTAAAAAACTTGCTATTGTATTCATTTGAATTCTCCAGCTATTACTATCCTGAGTGTAGTTTTGATGCAGGCTTTTGTTTAGAAGGTTTGTTACATAATGGTGAGGGTTGTGTTGGCAATGTCTCCAAGTGGCAATGAATGTGCAGCATCAAGATGGTGTTAGAAAAGTGAGGGTGCTTCTGTCCAAGGAGAGGGAGATGGGGGAAAGATAAAGTAGCAGGGATGGGGCTGGGTACATGTGGGTTGTTGAGTCATACTTTGCTGTCTGCTGGAGGCTGGCTGGGTTATGCTGTGGTACAAGAAAGGCTCAGAGCAGTGTGTGGCACCTTGAGCATCACCTCACTGCTGAGTCTGTCAGGAGAGGGAGGCAGAGCTGACGACAGACTGCAGAGGCACAGCAAGCCCCAGGTATCGGTAATATGGGCTAAAAGCTCATCTGTGCACCCACAAAGGAGCACAGAGACACAACAGTAGAAGAGGGAGCCCAAATAACACTGTGCCCCAGCAGCTCCCAGGAGCCATCAGCCCATCAAAGGCTCATTTGCTCAAGTTCAGAGTAGAACAGGGGCACAATGACAAGTGGGAACCCAAATGACAGACTTGGAGGAAAGGACACCCCAACACAGGGTGCTACGTGTGACTCCTACGACACTGCCTTCAGACCAGCAGAAATCCACTTGTGGTCCAGCAGTACGGGGCAACATTTCATTGCACTATT